TTCAAAGGATGTTGCTTGGAGGATTTGTTATGAAGTTGCCAAACAAGAAACATTTCAAAATTTAGAAAAGAAAATGACCCTCATGGGATACGCTCTTGCATTATGTCCTAGCGATCAAGCGGTTGATATTTTGAATGTTTGGCGAAAGATAGATGAAGAATATAGAGCAGAATTAATTCAAAAGGCCGGTGAGAAATCCATGGAAAAACCTAAATCAGCAAAGATCAAGCCAGTGGTTGAACGTGTTGAATCAAGCTTATTAACACCTTTACTGCAAGGAGATCGAATCAAGAGTGTGTTCAGTAGATTCTTTTGACTTGAAAATCCAATTTATTTTGAACAATTTTAAATGTATATTATAATTTATTAAACAAAAAAAAATAATAAATAAATAAATAAAAAATAAAATAACTTTTACATAAAAGCTAGTTTGCTCATTCATAATCACTAATTAGGATAACTAGATAACATGGTAAGAATGAAAAAAATTGAAGGTCTGATGTCATTATTTGTTATTATGCGTAGTAAATGTACCATACCTTAATTAGGATTGTCTTTTTTTAGATAAAATGTTATGCAGTAATTATTAATTAAAAGCGTAGATTTCCCTTTTACAGTAGGATCTTCCTGATTTATAAGAAGTTTTTTTTTTGTTCCAATTGCATTAACGATCGTTACAAATAAAGCAACGATTATTCACATGTTTACACTGCATAGCGATAGTTACTTTTGAACGCGTATATATAGTTAGTGAGAAATACGAAAAAATAAAAATAAAATCAATAGTTTCTATGATTTTTTTGATTTTTTTTTAAGAATAAAACCAAAATAATAATAATTAACGAAAACAAATTAATGTTATTTTCAATTAAAAAAGACAAACTTTTTGTTTGTGAAATATGAAACTTATTCGGAATTTTTATTCATAAATATTTTTTTCTAAATAAAAAATAAAAAAAAAGCAACTAACTGAATTAATCATACGATATATCGTGTAACAAAATCCTTTGTTTTCTCGAATTATACACTGGCGATTTCGTTTGTACAACACGTTTCAAATGTCTTTATAAGTAGCACTCTGTCTGGTTTGGCTGATGAAAATATTTTTAAATTCCATTTCTTCAATTTCTTCAATTTCTTCAGTAAGAAACACAAATATGGACCGATTTAATGCTCTCATAATCACACTCTTAATTTTCTATGTGAACCTAGTTACTTCAGGTGTATATATATATATTTTTTAACACTCAAGGAATTTCTGACTTTGTTAACAAGAAAATTTATTAACCTTTATCTTTATTCACATACACTATTCGTACTTAGAAATCTTCATCAAAACCCCAGACAGTCCATTATATATAGGAAAAGTGGCGAGTGTTAGCTGGTCTAGCGATACGCCTTTAGAAGGAACTGGCGAATTACGCCTTATGTTTAATGCATCCGTAAATATTTTAGTAGATGCTAATATGGACTTAAAACCGTTATTTTATAATTGGATAATCACGAGTCCGCCTGGAACTTTTTACTGGGGTTTATTTTCTACCCAGCCGGCCGCTTTTTCTCGTGAATTTAACATTGTCAATGCACCCGATGGAAGTAGTCCCACAAAAGCAATAACGTCGTTACCAGGTAGGTTATCCTTAATGATTACCTTTTTTTTTTTTTTTTTATTACTTAATTTAGCTTTGTGTTCTTTTTTTTTTTCTTTCAAGCGGCAACAACGATACTGGCAACCCAAACCCAAACTGTTGTAAAAAATGATGGTTCATCATTAAGTAAGGGAGTCATTATAGGTGTTTTTAGTGTCGTCGGAATCATAGGCCTTGCAGGTCTTTCTGTCTATGCATTTTTGCGTTTCAGAAAACCTAAATATATTCCAACACCTGGTGAAAGTTATAGATAATGATAATAATAATAATAATAATAATAATAAAAATGCTGTACGCTTTGTTTTAATTTTTATTTTATAATTATTGTACTATAAATTTTTTGTAAATAAATTTATTGGAGCACTGATTTCAGACTTTTAATATGAAACAATTTTATGCAGGGTCTTAGAAACTTCGGACATCAATGATTTTCACGACGTCCGTAAAAAAACATTAAATGATTTTCACGGTGATACGTATCATCGATTTTCTTTTCCAGAAAATCGCGTTTGGATAAAAATGCGATTTTGTTATATTGAAAAAAAAAAAAGAAAAAAAAAATTAGAAAATTGACACACGGTCGTTCCTGGTAATCCAGAGATCTGACCAATCAAATAGATCCGACCGATAATTACATCACACAACGCTACAGAATTTTTTCCGTATACTGTATCATTGAACAATTTTTGAAATATGTGTGACACTGCATTCTCTTACACATTCTTTACTGATCAGATCCAGACGAACAAACACGCACGCAGGTTCGTGATGCACGTTAACCTGCTTTCATAATTGGAGAGACCTGAAAGAAAACTTTGATTTTAAAGTTCAAATCCAAAAATTACTAACAATACATATTTTATTGTTCAAGTTGGCGGACATGCGTTTCGATCCTTATTATTACATTTTGTATGCGAGTCTGAGGCGCAGCAACTATCTTATATAAACAAACTTCACGAATGAACTCTTGCTATATATACTGTTGTTTCGAACTTAATTTTTAGTCAAAAAAATTTCTCAGTGTTGACGTAGATAGGATTAATTTTGTAAATAAATGATAGAAACATAGAAAATTTCCGGAAACGTGGGAGAGAAAAGAAATAATATGACTTAGTGGCTCGCATTATATCCTTTCTCCCTTTCCTCCCTTGAAAGTGTGGCATCAGCTTAATACTTTATCCTTTCTTAAAGGGAGATCATGTTCTTAAAATTACGGTCCAGTATCAAGAATTGATTTCATGTCTTTATGTTCGAAATTTCAAAACCATTATAGAAAACCATTATGGTTTACATTAAAACTATTTTCTTTACCAAGTGTAGAATGAATCATGTTTTAAATTAATTTGATAAAATTTAAGGTAAGGTACTTCAAATATATCAATTAGACAGGTATTTACTTACTATAAAACAAACATAGGAAGTGCATATGTCTTGATAAATGCACTTAACTAAGTTAATATAATTTTGTTTAATTAAATAAATCAGTAAAGTCCACTTTATTTTATAAAAAAAATCTACTTTCCAAATGAATGGCCAAATAAAAATAATTATGTAAAAAAATAATTTCCAGTTTACTTCAATCTTCTGTTTTTATTATTAAAAACTTTTACCAACGAAACACAAATCTTAAATGGAAACAATTCAGGAATTTTCTACAGATTGGTTAGTTTTATGACGCACTGTATCCAATTTTTTACGAAATCGAAATAATATAAAATCCGAAAATAAAGAGGATAAGTTGAACAATTCGAGAAAGACAAAAGATGACTTGGGAAGACTCATTAGGCAACTTTTAGTAAAAGTAAAAGGTAGTCCATTCATTCCATTTTGTTTGTGATCATTTGAAACTTTGATTATTTTTTCCATCTTCTAATTATTGCTCTTGAATTACTTTGTTCATCAAGTCAAAATCTCCTTTGATGCAATGTAAGATCGAAAAATATACCATCATTCATGGTGTATTTAGACTCTACGAATAAAGTCATGAAAGATTGGTTACTAATAATCTCAATTTGCATATTTTCTTAATGTGAAAATTAATCTCTCTCCAATTTTCTCTTCAATTCCAATTGTTGAATCATTCAGTATAAACCCAACAGAACGTGAAATATTTAGTAGAAGATAATTAAAAAGTTGAATTGCATTATTTTTTACTGAATTAATATCATCTTAATTAACACCTTCCAACAAAAGATTCTTTTAGGATATTATTCACTACAAGAATTCGGAAAATATTTTAATGAAATGCAGATACATTTGTGTTTTGCGTGGAGAAGAGAAAGGAGAAGGTGGAAAAGGAGAACCTGCTAGGGTTAATTGATAAATTCAAATACTTGGTGATTATGGAGAGACACTTCATATCTTTTTGGATATTATGCCAATACTACTGCTGTTTTCTTTATCATGGTGAAAAAGAACCTATTTAATATTAATAGTCAAAAGAGAAAACTCACAGACATTTTGCAGTCAGAGACTTGCAGTACTTGATTTAAACAAATTTTCAAAAATTTCGCCATGATAATCTCATTATTGTAGGCGAATGAGTAAATTTACATGCTACATGTCTATTGAAATTAATAATATGAGATAATGGAAATTGGCTATGTTATTAAAAAAAAATTCCCTTTAGAGGCTAATGTCAAATAAACATCTAGAAAAATTTTGTGACCAAATTTAAATTCCTAGCAAACACTTCACAGAATTTAAAATAAAAAAAAGAATGAAATATTATCGTGAATTTAAATATTTTTAACTTATCAAAGTGATAAATAAATAGTACATTTAATTTATCTTCCTTGTTTATAAAAATTTTTACTGCAAAACGCGCGATTTAACAATAAAAAGGCGATTTTACTTGGAATATTCAACTTGCATACTTTGGGTTCACAGCCAATGCTCCCTTAAGGTAGGGATTGGAATTGATAATCGAATCAAAATCGAATCTCATTTTTTGAAAGGAAAATTGAATTTAAACAAAAATATGAATTTAACATTGCATCTTAAAGATCAAATACATGGTTTACAACATTTTCAAAAATGAAAAATTTATTGGCAACGGCATTCAAAAACTCAAAAATGACGAAATTTTCGGTAAAGTTTAAAATGGAATATCTTATAATGAAATTTATAAAGATTCGATAATCGATTCCCTTAAGAAATGAAGTTAGAAAATTTATTGTCTTGCGAGAAAAGTAAAATATATACATATATAGATAAAGATATATAATAATAATATATATAACTTAGAACCATAGTCATTCATTCAGAAAAAATCAAAGCAACTACGATATAGTTTGAGAGAATATGATTTTCATCCGAGCGAAATATTAATAAACAATGGAAAAAGATATTTCACAACTTTTTTCCCAAATTAACGTGTACAGATTTGACTTGAGTATATTGTTGAATAGCGAATTTTCCTAGCGAGAATTCAAATAGAGAAAAAGTTGGATATTTCTGAACCTTATGGATTTGAATTGCGAAAATAAATATTTATTTACCTCCTTCACGACCTATTCCTGATTCTTTATACCCTCCAAATGATCTATTTTGAATCGAATACACGTGAATACGCAAAATTTTTTTACAAACAATCAATAAAAGAAATGACTTACGTGTATGAGTCAAATAAGTTGTAACAATTAACTACGTGTGGAAACGGGTGATTAATTTTTTACAACAAAAGAAAGATAGAATTTTACGCCTTTTAAACAAAAGTCGAGTTTGACATACCCCAAACAGTTCCAGCCTTTAGCTCGTTAGATATTTGCAAAGCACGTGTAATATCTTGAGTAAATACTGCAGCAGCCAAACCATATCTAGTTAAATGAGCCTTTTCAATAACTTCTTCAACGGTAGAAAATTTCGCTATTGCTGCCACAGGACCAAAGATTTCATCTTGCATGATGGACATCTTCTCATTCTATCAATCAAAATCGAAGATGTAACGTGAGAGTTAGATACATGACAAATGACGGTGAAAGTAATAATTATTTACCACGTCTGTGAAGATGGTTGGTTTGATAAAGTATCCTTCTTTACCGCATCTTTCACCACCCATTAACAAATTAGCGCCTTCTTTCTTTCCAGCTTCAATATATGACATAATTCTATAAAAGTATCAAAAAATTACGGTAACTTTTTATATATAGGAAAAAACATTTTTTTCTTTTTTGACTTTCCCCTACCTATCAAATTGAATTTGAGAAATTTGAGGTCCTTGATCAGTATCCCCTTTAAAAGGATCACCGATTTTAATATTTTCAGAAAGAACTTTAAATTTTTCTAAAAATTTGTCATAAATAGTATCTTGTACATAAACGCGTGAACCGGCGCAACAACATTGACCATGATTAAAAAATATTCCCATATGTGACCATTTAATTGCCTCTTCCAGATTTGCATCATCAAAAATAATGTTTGGAGATTTTCCTCCCAATTCTAACGAGACACTCTTTAAATTGGAATCTGCTGATGACTTGAGAATTTGTTTACCAACGACGGTAGAACCTTTATAATTTTACGTGGAAAAAACGATAACGCGTAAAATAAAAATAAAGATAAAAAACATAATTTCAGGAATCGGTAACCATACCGGTAAAACCAATTTTATGAATTTTCATATGAGATGCAATAGCGGCACCAGCCGTAGGACCGTATCCCGATAAGATGTTTACAACACCTTTTGGAAATCCGGCTTCTTTAATTAAAGCAGCAACTTTTAAACCACTCAATGGAGTATATTCTGATGTTTTTAATACAACAGTATTGCCACATGCTAGAGCTGGGGCCAATTTCCAAGATTGCATTACAATAGGGAAATTCCATGGAATAATAGCACCGCAAACTCCAAACGGCTCACGACGCGTGTAGCTAAATTTATCATGATCATTGTCATACGTCTATGGGAAATGAAATTTTATATATTTCACAAAGTAAAGTCATTTTATATCTTTCATATCTTTCGGGAATTTATATAAATATATTTTATTTATCTATCTTACCTTGCCATGAATTTTATCAGCAAAGCCGGCAAAGTATCTATAAGTTTCGATGGCACCCGGGATATCATTAGTTTTAGAAACGGAAAAAGCTTTTCCATTGTTAAGAGATTCGATAGCAGCGATCTCTTCGAGGTCACGTTCAATCAAATCGGCCAATCTATTAAGCAATCGACCACGTTCTGACGCTTGGACATTTTTCCAAACTTTATCAAAAGCTTCTGTAGCAGCGTCAACAGCCTTATCAACGTCGTTTGCAAACGCTTCTGCAACAGTTGTAATTGGTTTCCCTGTTGAAGGATTAATCACTTCAAACTGTTTTCCATCAATTGCATCGACGAATTCATTATTAATGAATAGACCCGTATAGACTATACATATATTTTGTCACACGTTAAAATTAATCATGAAAAGGCAAATACAAAAAATTCATTGGTTTCTCTTTTTTTTTGGATATTTTACTTTTGACGGACTTCCCAGTTGGTAAAGTGATTGATTGTTCGTTAGAAGGCATGATAGTGAGAGAAGTTTATTTTTTATTTTTTGGTGGGAGTTCTCAGTATTTATATTGTAAATCAGATCGACGCATTTAGCTTTTTTTTTTTTTGACGAGTTCAATTGCCTGAAAGAGAAAGCAATGTCTATAAAGCGAAATTTGCCGGATTGGCGTAAAATCATCACTAAGATTAAAGGAGGAAAAGTAGTCACGTAAATATCATGAAATGTAGAAATCATGTGAAAGTGAATTATTATTACGGAAGAAGGCTCCTTAATTAATATTTTAAAATATATATATAAATAAAAAATCCGAAACTTTAATTTTTTATCAACCGTCTCGCGTTTATTTTTAGTCAAATTCGTTTGGTATACAACAATTTTTTTTTTATTAGTAGGAGCTACATAATGGAATCCATAATTGTTTGCATTAAGAACTTTTAGGACGTGAAGTTTGTCCTCTCTTTCCTCTTATTACTCTGCCAGGACCACGAAGTGCGCCTACTCTTCCGGATCTAACAGGAACAATTGAACCTCTTGACCTGGAAACTGTCCTTGTAGGAGGATTAGACGGGGTTTTATTTGCTGTTAAAGGATTTATAACATTAGGTGTCAGGGGTGTTATAGGTATAGGCATTTGATTTAACTCTGGCCTCAAGGAATTGAATGGCGTTGCATTTATTTCAGATGGTTGTCCTTCTTCAAGATTCGACGATGATTCATCGATCGTCTTGGGGAATGTACTGATAGCATCAATATATTCGCTAATATTTTTAGTCTTACATTCCAATAGAACAGTTTGTAAAGCGTACATCTTATTAAGAATTACTTCTGTTTCAGTGGACTAATTTAAATAAAAATAAAAAAAAAAAAAATAGAATGTATTATTAATCTAAACAAAAATTTCATCATGAGTTGATTTAATCTTACATTATCGTCAAAATATTTCATCTTTTTCCATTTTTCTTCCTCTACCATACGAGAAGAAGTCGGACGCGTATTTTTTTTAAGTGATGATTTATCCGAAGTTTTATCATCACCAGTAGTGCCCTTGAAAGAATTAGGGTAAATATTCTTTACTGTATATATAAAAAAAGACGAAAACCTTATTACACAAAATAAATGTTAATTATATTACCGAAGGCCTTCCCCTTCCCGAACCTTTTCCTTTACTTGAACCTACTCCAGGATCTTCTTGATTTAATTTAACACTTTTTAAGTCGTTAACGAGATCCTCCTCTTCCATGGCTTGTGCCTTTTTACTAGCATTCTTTAATTTTTCATCAATTTTATCAAGATATTTTAGACCCGGGCGTAGTTGCAACGTTGTGTGAACTGGAGTCATATGAAGTCCGCCTAAAAATCAGTAGGAAAATGTAAATGATAATAAATAGAGGAATTTTAAATAAAAAAAAAATTGAAAAATACGATACCATGAAAGTTGAGTTATTACCTACCATCCTTAACTACACCCATCCAATAATTTGCTTGAGGTTGTACAATTGTAGACTGCAAAGTCTGTTTATCCAATAAACCATCATTTCGTTCACGTCGCCACGATCGATCATAAATGGTTCGAGCTTCTTTATCATTAAGACCTAGAGCCAATTCCTCACCTCGATCATGATTGTACCATTGCGAATTTGTTTGTAACGGAATGTCGAGTTCAAGTTTTTGTGAAAGTTGTTTGAAACGTGCTTCACGAGGTATATTATTACCATTATAAGGGTTTGTACGTGGTCTAACAGGATACTGTATAATGTAAAGTTCATTGGTGAGTTGTTGAGATAGATAAATAGGGATGTCTTGTATGATGTCGTTTGGATCAAGTTCAGAATCTGAATCGGACATGAGCATACAACTATCACCCCGAGAAACCTTTGAAGGAGCAACGATTATATTTTCATTTGTAGGCTCAAACGCTTCAGAGTCCGATAATTTAAAGGAATTATCAAGAGTAAAAGGAACTTCATCCATGCTTTAAAAAAGTTATAATATATAAATGAAAAAAAATTCGCGTTTTTTTTTTTATTATATACCGTTACACAATTATGTTAATTATGTTTCAAAACTGAATTGGGCAATATTAAATGGTTTCAATTATTATTAAAAAAAAGTTACAATAATAATAGTTTAGCGGTTTCTCTAGTAATGGACAAAACAGCACCTGTCCCAAATTCCAATTCAAATAATTCAGTAAATAACAGCAGCGGAATAGGTGGTCCTACTACAATATTACCCGCCGCACCTTTTCCACAGCCAGCTCCACGTTCGCCTTCTAGTTCTTCTGCTCAAACCGATTATAGCAGCACTACTAATAATACAGCTACGGCTGGCTCTTACGAATTTTTATATGAACTTGTACAAAAACGAATCACTACTTTTACATATTTAAAACAGGCTCATGAAGGAAGAATACACTGGTTTAACACGGTGTGTTTAAGTAAAGAGGATTTGAGAATGATGTATGAGAATGTTAAAATGAAGAAAAGGTATTTATAAATAAATACTCTTGACTTAAGAATTTAACATTGATTAAATATAGTTAATTTTTATTTTTATTATAAATAAGGACAGGAAATTTTTTTATTTTAGGTGCGTCATTAGCTCCAATACTTGATATAACAAACCCTCAAGATTATGTTAAAGCCTTAAATGTGATGTTGCAAGAATTCGAATATCACACCAATGAGCATGCAAGGCAGAAAATGGTAAAGAAGGATTAATTCATTATATATTACATAAATCAGAGAATTAAATTTTTTTATTTTTTTATGATTTAGAAAATGTTTTTTAGAAAGTCAAAAATAGTGAAAGATGAGGATACATCCTTTCAAGAGAATGGAGAATACACTTATTTATTTGTGCCTAATATAGTATGTAAATTTTGAAATAATTTTCAAATTATAGAAGATTTTTATTTATTAATATAAGGATTCATTGAACAAATAGCCTTTTGATTTGGATTATTTTCAAACATTTTACACACTCTGTGATATTCTAGTAGACGTTTACAATAAATTATTGGAAGGAACTGCAAATACGTTGACAGCATCATTTACGGAGAGTGTATTAAAAGTCGATGGGAAATTCAAGGTTCGAACTCTTTTCTCTTTGATTTTTTTTTTTGATTATTTTTATTTATTTTAATTCATTTCAGAAAATAATTGCGCTTGTGGCCAAGGAGATTGACACATTGGCTCGTAATACCATCAAAGAAGAATTGAGACCTTTGGATCCAATGATGATTATAGGAAGTGCAAGCGTTGTAGGAAGCAAAATGAGTTCTTCAATGAGTATCAAGAGTAACATTAGTAATACTACTACTCTTATTGGAAGTGAGTTTTTGGATGGCGGATGGAATGCTGCCAATAGCGGCAGCTGATGATGATTATTTATTATTATTATTATTATTTTGTATATAAAGTCGTAAAAAAGATTTAATTTAAAATGCCTCACGTGATTTTGTGATTTGCGCCTTGTACAACTTGTACAACAGCTGTTTTTCCGATCGCAATACATGAAAAAAAAAGGATTAGTCCAATTATTTATTTCTTAAATTAACTTGGCCACGTTTTTTTTTTTTTTTTTACGTTACATTAACAAATCCTGGTAAAAAGATTTGTTGAAGAAAATAAAGTTGAAGAAACCTTTTTTTTATATTTATAATAAAAATATTAATCCGATCAAAATACAAATGAGTAACCTTACATGGTTTAATGTTTATCATGTTCCTAAATTTTCGGATTATAGTTCAGATTTTTAGTTGTCTTTTGTGATAACAATGTGTCACGGGTTATCAAATTTACATTTAGTGCTTTTGATTAAGAAATTAATTGGCCATCTGCGAGCAATCGAAAATTGTAAGCATTTAAAGCATTATATTGAATATGATCATATGACTTAATATACCCACTTTTTATCTCCCCTTCTTTTTTTTATAACCCTTTTTGACGAATATTCTTTGGCTGGTAAAAGCGGTTTCTAAGCTTCCTGTGAGCAACCCAGATCCCGCACAACTACTATTTAAAAATCCGCCTTGTACAATATTTAATTATTTTTTTAAAAAAAAAAAATGGGCGTAAACCCATACATTATTATGTCAAATTCTTCCCAAGCTCTAGCGTCAAATGATACAAGTGCTGCAGAAACTTCCACAGGTTTTGGTTTTCCGGTTGTCTTTCCACCGGAAGAGTGCACTGGTAATTCAAATAATATAGGTTTTCCACCAGCGACTGACCAAATTTCTTCGTCAGTTTCCGAAGGCGGGTTGACTTTACCTCCATATTCTTCGACAATCAACGTTAACGGTCAGGGTTATTACTATAATATCCCTGCTAATGCTGCTGTCGGCTCGGATCATGGCACTTCTAAGGATAATACAGTTATAGTGGTTCCAATGTGTCCGACTGTTGATAATACGATTGTAGATAATCACACATCACTGCCGTTGGAGTCAAAAACACCAGCAGAATATGCATTGAGCATTTTGTTCAGGCAGTTTGCAAAAGTTGCCGAAAAGAAATTATCTATTATAATGAATCATAGTGTGGTATGAATTTAAATAATACATATATATATTAAATCAATTTCTTATATAAAAGTTTACTAAATCGAATTTTTCACCCAGGATCATGAGCTAGAATTTGCTAGCCATTTAGGTCCCGGCGTTGATCAATCTTTTGATAAACTATTAAATTCTTTGGGATATATAGCAAGGCATAAACCGAAACCAGTAATTGACTCTGTTTTGTATTGGAGGAAAGAAAAACAAGTATCAAAACAAGATATTCCGGACGCGCCTTCGCATAAACGTAATTTGTAAGTGACTCTATATATATATGTTTTTTTGATTTGAAATTACATATTACTTATGATTTTGACTCTTAGGAGTGATACCATATTAACAAATCGAACTAAAGAAATTGAAAATATTCTTCTTGAACGAAAAAGGGTATTTAATTTATTTATTATGCAATTGGTAGTTTATAAAGTTTGCTGCTTGACCTAAATTTGTTTTCTCTGGAATAATCATAGCAAGTCACCTTATATATAGTATCTCGCACTCTTATCGAAATTGTGAAACAAATACAGCCCGAGACTCTTCGAGATGAAGTGGGTAAACAAATGGAAGACCTTGTATTTAAACTTATCTTAGAAACTAAGCCGTAAGTCTATAATTTTAGCATTGACAACCTTTCTGAACATTTATTAAATTTTTTTTTCATTTAAATTCAATTCAGAGAGGAAATACAAAGGTCGAGACATACGTATGCTGTTTATGAATTATTTGCAGAACTTATAGGTGGATTATCAAAGATACGTTTCGTGACCGTATCTGATAGATTTATAGCAAGGTTGGAAAGCTATGTGAACTTACCTCCTCAAGCGTTAAAAGAACAAGAAACAAAAGTGGAATTATTAATCAAAGGGATGCATCATTTACAATTAAAAGTAGGGGGGGTTTCTTTATTTCACTTCAGGATATTTTTACAAGGGTTGTTATCATTAAAATTCAATTAAATATTTTTAAAAGATATATCCAAGTGAAGCATTGGAGGAAACAGCGGAATTTTTACAGAGTCTGGCTGGGTTTCTAAAATCGGCACATGGTGTGAGAATAAAACATGCATATTCCGAGTTATTTGTCCGATTATTAATGCCTATTGCAGGGGTAAGTCATTATTACATTACGATCGGGATTTTTTTTGTTCGAATGGTAAAAAATGATTCTAATTTTTTTTTTTTCTTTATTAGATTGCAGAATCAGAAGTAAATGTTCCAGCTTGGGTTAGAGCTGTAGAGATGATGTTCCCTAAAGCATGGAAAATGACCCTCAAACACATTCATTACCGAGTGAGTAAAAAATAAAAATTAGACTAGATTGAATGTTTATATGGCAATAATTTTTCTGTTTATTGATTTAGGTTGCGTATCCGCTATCTATTACGATATTATGTGTCAGTCAGAGGGATTATTTTCTTACCCGGTTGAATGATTGTTTAAGTAGTTGTTACACCAGATTTAAGGTTATCATTTATTAATAAACCATTTTAAAACTATCGTCGGTTAAATCCATTCTAATCAATATAAAACAATGTTTTTGTAGGATAAAACCTTACGGCAGATGGCTATGGGTTGTGTGATTCGACTTTTATGGACATATTTGTATCGATGTTACGAAGGAACCACATCTACATATAAAAGGCTAGAAGAGATAATCAAAGTTATTTTCCCTTCGGGTCGAAGATCTATTGTGCCTTCTGATGCTAATTTGGATTTACATGTACAATTTGTTCAATTTGTTGGAATGAAACATTATGACTTTTGCATGAAAAACCTTATTTTCATGTTGATGAACTCTGACAATTTAGCATCATCATCCAAACCATCAATTGATTATATAATGCCAGATAGGATGCGAATTGGAATACGATCTTTTATGCTATTATTATCAAATATACAATCTTCTGAATCAAAACCACCATTTCCTAGCAATCCTGATTTATTATCACCCAGACATTGCATTGGTGTTAAAAGTACATCGGAAGTCCTTCCGGACGAAATATTTAATCGTGCTGGATTAAAAGAACATTTTGACAAATTTTGTGAGACTGCTCATAAAATTGCTTTGATATTAGACACATCCTTTGGATTTACACCTGTTCTGGATGATAAACCTTCGGCTAATCGGGCAGCCTTTCCTCCTACCTTGGCTAATGTTGTAAACAACTCAGAATCAAATGCAGGAATCTACAATCAGATGAACTTTTCCTTATCAAAGGATAAACAACCGTATTTGAATTTATTAAGGGATTATGTTGATTCACTTCCACGATTGTTACCAAATAGGACAGCGAATAATTACAGATTGGTCGAAATGTTGTGTAAATATACCGTTCATCTCGATTCAGATCTTGCCTTTTCTGCAGCTTTAGCTTTACGGAGAATCGCACATCAATGTGGAGCTGCCACAG